GCCTTTTCGTGCCACGGCCGAAGCGGCTAGATTAGATTTATCTACTGTTCATTCTATTCAATTGCCCCCTAAGAAGCAGTCTATAGTCCCTACTGGGATAGGGGTACAATTTCCCAAAAATACCTTTGGTTTGTTAAAAGGACGCTCTGGACTGGCAACAAAAGATATTGATGTACTGGGAAGAGTCATTGATCCAAATTACCAAAGAAAAATAAAATTCATATTATATAATGGTAGTGACACAGTACTAACTGTAGAGTCTGGAGAACGAATGGGACAATTATTGGTGCTTCCCCTCTTGACTCCAAATGTGTCACAAGGACAACCTCCAAGTGAATTAACTAAAAGAGAAATACAAAGATTTGGGTCTACAGATGGATAGAAACCTGAAACAAAGGTGTGGGTGACCCATCCACCCAATGCGGCTCCCCGTGCCGCAGAAATAGTGGCCCAAGGGCCCACTACAACACTCATAGTTATATATCCAGAAAATGAACAGTTATATCATGTTCCTAAAAATTCTGTTTCTTTGCGTGAATAGATATTCCTGCTGTGTTCACTATGCTGTGCTACACCTCCATGTCTGCTACAGACCTACACACCAACTAATGCCTCTGTAGGACAACCTTTGACCCTCTACTGTTAGACCAACTGCTCTACACCAGTGGGACCTATAACCTAGACTATAAATGGCCAAAAAATTTGGTTTCAGAAACATCAAACAACTTCTCAATATAAGATAATTTCTCTATTACCCTGCCTTCTGCTACCCTGCGTGATGGGGGCTGGTCTAGACTTCTACAAGCTAATTTGTTAGGCCTAAGTGTTACCTTATCTAATGTTATCTTTGATGCTGTACATGATTTGCAAGATCAAATTAATAACATTTCATATTCTAAGGGGTTATTTGATTGGTTACCTTGGGGTTTGGGTCGTTATTGTGAAATAGTTTTATAATTATTATAGTCATTAGATTTTAGATTCTTAGATGTGCCTTATGTACTTGTGTACGAAGTTCATTGTCTGTACATATGGTGTCTTATGGTTAATGGAGACGGCCACGGCCAAATATGTCTTGACATGAGTACAGCCATGTTTGGCCGCTCCATTGACCTACAGCCACCAGCACAAAAAGAAATACAAAGCTGCTTTCTGTGTGGTGGGAACTGGCCTTTTCCCGGGAACTAACCTTTCTCCCACGGAGAGAGTTACAAGTTGTAACATTTCAAGGCTCTTGGAGCGTCGTAGCACGGGATGGACTGGCCATCTGTGCCGGGCTAAGACGATAACGAAAGAGAACAATGCACGTACAGAACTACTGGGCTGAAATGTTAGCCAAGGGGCTCAGTGCACGTACGCCACTGATAACCATTTTGTGCATGAGAACACTAGATACTTGCTCTGCAAACTCTGTAACTGCTTATATAAACTGCTAGAGACTGAGACCCAGTGAGAGTTCCACCTATGGAAGGGACACCTTGCCCAAGACGTGTGATCCTTGCCAGGCGCGTCGATTGACAGGGCTCTCCCGGCAGTGGGACATAAATATTGTGAGTAATTAATTTGACATAAAGTAATTGATTTGATATAAAGTAATTGATTTAATGTGTTCTCTTTTCGGGCAACCTGGTGTTTCTCTTTCCAGTTGATTTGTGTCATTTCTCTTCAGCCGATGTAGATGTTTTCCCTTTCCAGTCGGGCTGATATTTTTTCCCTCTTAATATTTGACCTATTCAGATCTATTTACAGACTATCGCCTTTACTATCCTCTATATAATAAAATATACCTTCAGTCCATTTGTTTAGAGTAGAAAATGTCTTTTACATCTCCAATCAAATCCCCAAACATCTCATAACACCAATAAAGACACTGTTTCAGATTTCTGTGCCTGCACCTTTTCATGTCCAATGACAATGTAGCAAGGTTTCTTCTAAGGGTCCATTCTGATCAGATAACAAATGAGTCTGTCTTTTTGCCATGGCATCAGAAAGACCAGAGACCAATTTGCACTCACCTGGGATGACTCTAAGGTCATAAAATTTGCCTATATCCGCATGCCACTTTTATCTTGTTTATGTATATTTCCCTGAAGCTGAATTTTACTTATTTCCACTTTTCCATTTTAGTTTATGAACCCTCATAAAGCTCATAAAGCACAATGTAAAACAAGCTGAGGAAAAAATAAAGAACGAACTCACCAGGGATGCAGCCATTTTCTGTTGCTCTTAGAAACACAGAGGACACTGGAAAAAGAGCTGGAAGAGAAGGCGAATGGAGTGGAGTCATGAAATGACTGGCATGGCTTGCTCCTAGATCCCAGATTCTCCCGTCCAAAGTTCTCTATACATTATCTAGAAGAGACCAAAAGACCAAAAAAAATAAATAAAATAAAAGAGAGCGAGCCTCTTGTGAGACAATAGTATTTTACACATCCAGAAGGGGCAGGAAAGACCCTGTTGAAGGAGTACCCACATGTCCGTTAACTTGTAGAATTTAGACATACAACTCATCCTTAAGTTAATGAAAACATATATTTCTTACTGATTTATCAACAGTTAATGGTAAAAACGAATTCAAAATTTTAAAGACTCTTAATTAAATAATGGACTACTATAATTAACAAGTCAGGAAACAACATGTGTTGGAGAGGATGTGGAGAGAAGGGAACTCTCATACACTGCTGGTGGCAGTGCAAACTGGTGCAGCCACTATGCAAAACAGTATGGAGATTCCTCAAAAAACTAAGGATAGAACCACCATACGATCCAGCTATTCCACTGCTGCGTATTTATCCGAAGAACATGAAAACACCAATGCATAAAGATACATGCGACCCTGTGTTCACTGCAGCATTATTCACAATAGCGAAGACTTGGAAGCAACCTAAGTGCCCATCAAGGGACGAATGGATAAAGAAGATGTGGTATATATACACCATGGAATACTACTCAGCCATAAGAAACAATGAAATCCAGCCATTTGTGACAACATGGATGGAAATTGAGGGTATTATGCTAAGCGAAATAAGTCCGAGGGAGAAGGTCAAAAACCATATGATCTCACTCATAAGTAGAAGATAAAAACAACAACAAACACACACATAGAGACAGAGATTGAATTGTTGGTTACCAGAGGGGAAGCGGGGAGAGAGGAGGGCAAAAGGGACGACTAGGCACATGTGTGTGGAGATGGAGTGTAATTAGCCTTTGGGTGGTCAACATGACGTAATCAATGCAGAAACAGAAGTATACTGACGTACATCTGAAATTTATAGAATGTTATAAACCAATATGACCCCAATAAAATAAAAATTTTAAAGACGCTTATTTAAATAATTATTTAATATAATTATATAATTCCTATTAATAATGGCATACCACACAGGACTCCATATTAGTGTTTCCACGAGGACACCTGTGGTTTTTAGATACCTAAACCTCACAGAAAGTATACACCTTGCAACACAACATTTTTGGCCCATGATTTTATAGGAAAAGATGCACATAATGTACATTTTTCATGGCACACTCTTCCAGTAACGGTTCTCAATGACTTGCTTCCCTGTATTCATTTCCTTGTGAAGTCCCCTCTGACAGTGACATGGGTTTTGTCATTTGACTTGCTTTGACTGAAGGGAAATCAGTACACATGATGCAAACATAGGACGAAAAGTGCTTTTCTACTAGAGCTTGCCTTCTTGGAACACTGTCATCTTGTGAAGTAACCTGGGGCTACCCTGTGAGGGACATGGCTTAGCCAACAGCCAGCACAAACCAATAAAAAATTAAATGAAGTCTCCTTAAACCAAGCAGCCTCAGTCAAGGCACCAGATGACTACAGCCTCACCTGTGACCCAGCAACACTAGTACAGGAACTGACCAACTAAACCTAGCCCAAAATGCTGACCATGGAACTTGGAGCTAATAAAATGGTTGTTGTTGCTGTCTTTTAAGCCAGTAAATTTTGGTTGGTTTGTCACATAGCAAATGCTAAGTGATACATCTACACCCCCAAACTCAGTACGTTTTTAACAAAATCACATGGGGGAGAAAGCCTTGAATTACACGCCAAATACACACAATAGAACTTCACGACCACATGTAGAACTTTTGAAAAGCTTAATGAACGTCCACTGGATGGACCTCAGTGAGGTTGCCGGAACAAAGAGAGACCATGCGAATCACAAAAAACAACTGTCTGCAGATCAGAAGACTACCTTTTAAGTTTTTTACATCAAGAACAAGTCGTGTACCTCTCTGCGGGCATTGTACTGTTGAAGCAGAAGTGTGATTCACTCTAATGTTCCTTTTTTAAACAATGGGAACCAGGCTCCCGTTATGGTGCTGTAGGATTTACGATTTTCAAGACAAGATTACTGACATCAAGTGGAAAACACTTGTGTTAGTAGCCCCTTGAGCGCAAATAACCCACAGAAAGCAATGGGGAAAAAAGTACAGGCATGTTTCAAGATAGTTCTTCTAAAACGATGTTTGCTCTAAGTTGGTCGCAGTTCCTCAAAAATGATGTCAAAAACAAACGCAGTTTGGCTTAACTGTGGCAAAGTGGATAATACTGACGTATACAAATCATATGAGCCTGGCAAATCACTTATGTTCACAAGTGAAACTTTCTTCATCTTTCTTTTAAGGCAGAAATACCCTGACAAACCCTTCCTGAACTACCAGGAAGAACATTCAAGACAGAGGGAGCATCAGCATATCTCGAGATATCTAATTTGATGACACAATAAGTTTGAGAGAGTTCAGATAAAAGAAACAGCCAGGGGAGAGTGAAGGAATGAGAGCACTTAGGGAGCACTGCACAGAGATTCTCTCAGCTGTGACAGGTTATTCCTCTACCCCAGACCGCACCCTCAAGACCCCTGCAATTAGTAACATTTCCTGCGCCTCTGCCTACCACTCTCAGCCCAGCTCAGGTCTCCTTCTGAAAGTCGGTCCAGACCTGCTACTATCACCCCGTCTTCGATAACTTCTGGAGGAGACAGCATCACCCACATCTTGTGTGCTCTGGGCAGAAGCATCAAAACTGCCAGGATCTCCTTCCTGCGAGTCTTCTGCCTCTGTTCTGAAGCGCTAGCGAGAGGGTTCAGTCAGAGGGGTCGTCTTCCAGGTAGGATTCCTATTCACAGGGTGCCTCTCCCTCATGCTTTATGCCAGCTACCTTGTTCCAAAGAAACCAAGACTGTCATCCAGAGCGCAAACATCCCTCCTAGAAGCCACGGTCCCTGGAAACTAGGTCTTGTATCAACTTCCCTAACGCAAACCAGGAGTGCTAGGCGGGCCACACGGTGCAGGAGGGGATCCGACACTTCTTCCGCTGAAGAGACTCAAGAAGCCCCACAGACACAACTGCCACACGCCACGCCTCGGTCGGCACACACTTCGCGGTGATTTCTCCGGAATCGGGGCATCTCACCCCTCATCAGCACGCTCCGTCACACAGGAGCACACCGAACGTCACTAAGTTAACTACGTCGCCCGGGACGCTGCGGGGGCAGACCGCAGACCCCGCACGCTCGCGCCGTCCGCACACCCACCCCCGCCTCGCCGTCGTCTTGGACTCGACCCCCAGTTCGCGAAGCTTCTGGAAGCACACGCCCGGCCTTCCAGAGGGCACCCTCTTCGGAAGAAGCAATCACCGAAGGCACAGCCCGAGTCGGCCCTCCCCCAGCCCGGACCTGTGGCCCCCGGTGCTCCAACCGCCTGCGGACCCGGCCCAGGTCCGCGGCTCACACCCACTGCCCTTTCCGCTCCCACCAAGTGGGGCGACAGCCCTCCCCCCACCTGTGTCCCCGAGTGCCCGGGGCTCCTCTGTCTTCCTCGCACCAACCTTCAGGGACACAGCACCCAGCCCCGAGCCCACCGGAGCGGCGGGCTCCGCAACTTCCGGGCGGAAGACGGTGCGAGTGGGCGGAGCCGCGCAGGCGCCGAAGGAACCCCGAAGACTCCTTCCTAGAGTCTGGCGCGGGAACAGGTCATTGCAAGGCGAGACTACATTTCCCACAAGCCTCTTAGTGGGTTAGGAAGGGTCTGAGGACATGCTCTTTATTTGCCGGGTAATCCGTCTTGCTTCCCTGAGACCCGGATGCGATGGATGCGAGCCTGTCTCGAACCCACATGACAACTACGTGGAATTCTGGTTTGTTGTTAAATCCGGATTTGAGAAGCTGAAAGATGTTGTGGGAGGAATGGGGAAATTCGCATGTGAGAGAAACATTCCAGGAAGTTAAATGTCAGCTCTAGTAGCTTTAGTTTGTGATAATAGTAATGGGGTTTTAAAAGGCACACTGTTTTTCACAGTTGCATACTGTGGAAATTAAGAAAAGAAAAGTTAAGAAATGCACTGGCAGGCCTGTAGAGGGAGCTCTCACCCCCATCACACATAGTCAATTATAGCAAACAAGAAGTGACAGAGGCTTTCATCTCAGAGGAAGTACAACTACTTTACTACTGAAGGAAGATTTCTCTCCCCACCTGACAACAGCCCAGCCAATCAGAAACACTATAGCTCAGCCAATGAGAGACACTATAGCTCAGCTCAAGCAATCAGAGACACCGCTGCTCAGCCAATGAGAAGCTGTTGCTGCCCTGAACTGTCACTCTCCCCCAATGGGCTTTCCTTTAGAACAGCCCCGCCCTCTCCCCCTTCTGTATAAAAGCAGCTCCCTCCTTTCTTCTCTGGTTTGTCTATGGTTCTCCATAGCGTGTACATGGGAAGTTGTAATTCTTTCGGTTATTCTGGAATAAACTCGTTTTGAGGGTAAAATAACTGGTGAGTTTGCCTTTTAAGTTGACAGTACTAAAGCATGAATGGTAAAGTATCATAATGTCTGTATTTTATTAAACTACTTAAACCGATATGGCAACTGTTGTGAGTTTGTTAAATTAACATTTCTTAAGTAAAACCCCAGTGTGTGGGATGGTGAGCCATGGTTCAACAAAGGACCACAAGGGAAAGTGAACTAGAGAAGTCTACTACTCAGAGGTCCTGGACGAGCTACCTAGCATGTCACAAGGGGCGGCAAGGGGAGGTCAAGGGAGGATGCAGCTGGAGTGTGGCAGGACCTGAGGCACATGCCTGTATTAGGGTCTGCCATTTAAATGTTTTGGGGTTCCCAGGCTAATGCCAGATTGGTCAATTCAAACCAAAAAAGAGTGAGGTTTTGCTCTGCTAGGGGAGAGCAAAAGGGGAAGGTCCTGGGAGGGAGGGAAGCTGTTGCTCACAAGGGCTGCTGGGGAAGTCATATCGGGAACCTACATTTATTTGTAATCTGTGGGCTTCTATGTGGGGCATATGCTTGCAGGAAGGGCTAATGTCTGAGGTTTCAGCAG